ATATCTGCTCATATTACTCTGGTAAGGAGAATATCATATATCGTTATATGATATTACCTACTGTGATAATAATCCTTTGTATCTAGTTGCTACAAAAATGCCACGCAATGGCTAAAACAATTTCCGTCGCAGAAGACTGACCGTTCCGTCACCGGTGGCTTATCGTTGTGTGGCGGGTAGATAGCCGTTCCATGGTGGTTCGGCGACCGCCCTGTAGCAAATCTTTAACTAGTTGTTGTCCTTTTAAATCATGTAACTGGTGCTGCATTATTCAGTTACGGTGCTTGGCTAGCCCGTGTTGGACAAATGGTAACATCCAGGTTGGTCTACTCGCATTTAGTCAAATCTCAGAATAGTTAATAGTGCCATTTAGTCTACTTTCATCTACCTAGTCAGGTTTTGGTGTACCCTTTCCCTTATATTGCGGTATATTTGGGTCAAACATTGATTGCAAAATCACTTTATTTGCATTTTTATTATACACAGTATATTTACAAGCAGTAGGCCTCCTATGCATAGATATTCAGCATTGTTAAACATCACAAATCAATCAAATATTACACGTACAGGCCACACAACATGGACACTGATAAAAAATGATAGAATATGGTGAGTTATGCTTGATAGGAATTTTGCTAGCTCTGGCAAGTAATATCTCACATGTCGGTGTGAAACCCTCATTTTTGTTTCCCGTAACTTTAGGAGTGTAACTAGTCAAAGGTGTGAATGGCACAATGTCACTAATACTAGGAGAAATTTAAAATCTTGTGTGGATGCCAGTCAAAAGTCATATTTGACTTGTACATCTGTGTATTTATTATAAAATTTGAGAGTAGACTAAGTTGGAATTTGGAAATTTTCATGCTATCGTATTTGCTATTTTTGTCAAGTTCTATTCTCAATATTTATGTCTATATGTTTTTTATTGGTTTCTGCCGACTATGATTGCCTCTCAAAACTCATATTTTACATTTATAAATGATTAGTTAGTAGACAAATTGATAGCAGACAAAATGGGAATAGGGTAGATTTTTAGTGCAGGGACTAATCGGGAGTAGACGAAATAGGTGTAGAGCAACTGGAGGGTTTTGCTATAGACGAAAGGGAAATTTAGCGGTAGACGAAATGGGAGTAGACCAACCGGGAATAAACCGGACAGATTACTTTCCGTGGAAGAATGACATGTACAGGCGTTATTGTGTTTCAGCATGTATGGTGTGTTTCAGTAACCGGACTGCCTTTGTGGGCCTCCGTTGTAAGCTCTGGCGTTGTGTGCACGTTCTACACTTCTTTGGTGAGTATATATGCAGTCAACAGATTATGCTATTAGCTGTGTGTGTATGTGTGTGTGTGTGGTCGTGTGTCGGTGTGTGTGTTGTGGAATGCTGTCGAGGCGCCGCCGAGTGTGCGTGCGTGTGTGCGTGCGTGACTCGCGTGCGTCGCGTGTGTGTGTGCGTGTGTACGGCGGCGTGCGGTATTGTGCTTGTGTATGCTTGGTTAAGAGTGTTCTGTGTGATGTGTGTAGTGTGTGGTGTGATGTGTGTGTGGTGATGTGATAGTGATGTGTTGTGTTACGTGTGTGGGTGTGATGTGACAGAAAGAATCGAAAAAGGAGACGGAAAGACTGAAAGAGAGACGTGTGATCTAGAATAATGTGTTTATCAATCTTTAGTACCCATTACGCTGTCTATGGGGTAAAAGTGTGGCGTGTGCTGTGGCCTGCTCTGCGCGCCAGGTCGGGTTGCGTAGCGTGCCGTGCGTAGCAGGCGTGCGTGTGTGCGTGTGTGCATGTGTGCGCGCGTGTATGTGTTTGTATGTGTGCTGTGTGGGTAGTGTGTGTGTAGTGTGATAGTTGCTGTGCTGCTGTGGTGTGTCGTGTGTGTGTGTGTTGTGTGTGTGTGCTGTGTGTGTGTGTGTGTGGTAGTGTGTGGTGTGGGTGTGTGTGACCAAAGGAATTCCGAAGAGAGACGAACAGAGAGAGAAAGAGTTCGTCTATTGAATATGTGTTTTCAATACTTAGTAGCAAGCATTGACGGACGCCTCGTTCGCCCGCATGTAGACAATATAATCAATCATCCCGGGACCGAGCGCAGAATCTTAATATCTAGCTAATCTTACACCAGTAGGCGGACACTATCTTCACAAATAAAACAGAACGTAAAGCGGGTAGCATGCAGGGCCCTGACAGGAAGAGCTGACGCGCGGGCATCAAAGAGATTGCCCATGGTGACGCCCGCCCTTGTTTGTTCCGTGATGCTGGCGGCCGTGTGCCGCGTTTCCATGTTCACGTGCGAATGCCGCTGCTGCAAGCTGTAGTTGATGCGCCGTTGTCATGGTGACGTGAGCGCGGTGTTGTCATTGTGCCGGGGGCACTTATTGTGTCGAGGATGCGAATAGATCTAATACACATATCGTCTGCTGCAGGGTGGAATGAAGGCGGTCATATGGACAGACACTTTTCAGATGCTAGTCATCTTCGTCGGGCTGCTCGTCGTTATTGTGAAAGCAAGCGTTGACATCGGCGGCATAGGCGAAGTTTTTCGCATCTCTAACGAGGGAGGGCGTCTTATCTTTTTTAAGTGAGTGCTGACAGGCGCGTACTAAAAGTAGCCGATAATCGTGACCATGCTGGACACGTGTTCAACTTAACCTTCAGGCCCAACACTAATCATTTTATCCTGTCAAAAATAATTGAATCTGGTGTTGCCTTATAAAGATTAATAATAAAGAAATAATTCAGATGACGATAGCAAGTGAGTGGATTTATTTTCGCACTGATAACATTAATTTAGAATTATTAAAATTAATTTTACTGGAAATGGATATTGTACCACGGCTCGCTTAATATGGTCACTGATCCTGGTATTCTTCGGTTAGTCAATGGTTCAGACCTGATCATTGCGATACAATCGGGATTCGTTCACAATAGTCTTGTTAATTCTCGTTACGACGTGTTAAAACTCGTGTTAAACTCGTGTTAAAACTGCGCGGTCACATGCATGCGCGCTCGTGCGTACTCGCGGACGTACGGGAATGCGGGCATGCGGTAGTACACGTATACGTCCTACAACCACAGAATGCCACGCGTATTTCAGTATGGATCCAGACCCAACTACACGCACTACGTTCTGGAGCATGATCATAGGGGGCGGTTTTGTTTCTCTCACGACATACGCTACTAACCAGGCAACGGTGCAGCGATATCTCAGCATCAGAACTGTCAAGCGAGCAAAGTAGTAAGTATACAGTAGTAAGTATACAGTAGTAAGTATACATAAGTAGTAAGTATACAGTAGTAAGTATGCAGTAGTAAGTATACAGTAGTAAGCATACATAAGTAGTAAGTATACAGTAGTAAGTATAGATAAATAGTAAGTATACAGTAGTAAGTATACAGGCTGAAAGATGACACAGCCGTCAATATGTGCATGTTTATGTAACGAAAAGTGCAGACATACCATTATGTATGTATGTATATATATATGCAACATTTTATGTAAGAGGGCTGCTCTAGCAATCCATGCCTCTCTAAATATCTAATATTTCATTCACTGTAATAGCAGTCACCCATGCAACCGTGATTGCAGCTAAAGATAACGTAGCTGCCTTGCTTCCACTCTCAGAAGCTCTCAGCTCCCCTCTCTCTCTCTGTCATTCTCTCGCTCTCTCTCTCTCTCTCTCTCTCTCTCTCTCTCTCTCTCTCTCTCTCTC